GAGCATAAGCTTTCGTGGGTAAGAACCTCACTTCTTCAGATGCAAGACTTCTTGCATCTGAAGAAGTGAGGTTCTTACCCACGAAAGCTTATGCTCCCAATACTTCTGTTAGTCTTAAAGGTGCCACAGGACCCTCTGTTGCTTTTTACAGATTCAGACTAACACGGCTACCACTCTGATACTCAACCCTCCAGGTTCACTCTCAGGCTCCTTCCCTCTCTCTCAACTCCTCCATTACCCCTGACCCTCCCCACAAGCTTTTACACTGCTTCTGCAGAGTGTGGGAAATATGATTCTGGATTGTAGTTTAAATGAATTACTCAAAGTTCTGTATTAATATGCCTAGTAATATGCCGAGTCTATTTGTCAAAAAAAATTCCTGAATCATTTTTTTTGTCTTTATTGTTACAGACACACTTGCTGACAAGTATTTTGAAATAAATTACCAAAATAATTGAAACTGGTGTGATTATATTGTGTTATTTTGACAAAATATGAAGAATTTGGCAGAATTTTAAAACATTGTACGCATAATTTTTAATTATTTGGCGCAGAATTCCCCCAGGAGTATAACATCTAAACAGCATTACATTAAAATGCACTCTCAGATATCTCACCTCCACAACAAACTCTTCCAACACATAAGTTATAACCAAACATAATGCACTCTAGTTCCTCTAAATCATACACAAACATAACTATGACTCATAGCACAACTAAATTAAGATATATTCTCTACCCTATGGCTTGGTTGGCTATGATAAAAAATAATCACTGACAATAACTTAACTGTACCACTCAGAAAGTATCAGAAATAATTTTTCCTAAGCCATTTTCTTAGTTATTGTGGAGTTTATTTGGTTTGTACCCCAGGGTAAGGATAAGCAGAGGGTAAAAAATCTGTTCTTGGAGATCTGGAATCCGTCCCATTAAACATCTGAGCCTTCACAACATATAACTAGGCTATTTTGCGGACATTCTGCTAAGTTACTTTAACAGTTAATGTTGAAAGACTCACAGAATCATAGCGATGTAGGACTGGAAGGGACATTGATAGGTCACCTAGTCCAGTGCCCACTATTATCTAGAGCATCGCTGACAGGTGTTTGTCTAATCTGTTCTCAAAAAACTCCAATGATGGAGATTCCACCACCTCCCTAGGTAATTTGTGCCAGTGTTTAACTACCCTTATAGTGAGGAAGCTTTTCCTAATGTCTAACCAAAATCTCCCTTGGTGCAATTTAAGCCCATTATTTTTTGTGCTGTCCTCAGTGGATAAGGACAACAATTTATCACCCTCTTCTTTATAACAACCTTCTATGTACCTGAAGACTTATGTGCCCCCTCAGTCTCCTCTTCTCCAGACTAAACAAACCTAATTTTTTCAATCTTTCCTTGTAGGTCGTGTTTTCTAGACCTTTAATAATTTTTGTGGCTCTCCTCTGGACTTTCTCCAATTAGTCCCCATCTTTCCTCAAGTGTGGTGCTCAGAACTGGACACAATATTCCAGTTGAGGCCTTATCAATGCTGAGTAGAGTAGAAGAATTACTTCTCTTATCTTGCTCATAACATTCCTGCTAATACATCCCAGAAGGATATTTGCTTTTTTTGTGACAATATTACATTGTTGGCTTGTATTTAGTTTGTGATGCACTAAAACCCCCAGATCCTTTTCTGCAGCACTCCCTCCTAGGCAGTCATTTCCCATTTTGTATTTGTGCAATTGACTATTCCTTCCTAAGTTTAGTACTTTGCATTTGTCCTTATTGAATTTCATCCTATTTAATTCAGACCATTTCTCCGGCTTGTCAAGATCATTTTGAGTTTTAATCCTGTCCTCCAAAGTGCTTGCAACTCCTCCCAGCTTACTATCATCTGCAGACTTTGTAAGTGTAATCTCTATGACATTATCCAAATCGTTTATGAAGATACTGAATAGAACTGAACCCAAAACAGATCCCTGCAGGATCCCATTCAAAATGCCCTTCCAGCTTGATTGTGAACCACTGATAAGTACTCCCTGAGTACGGTTTTCCAGACACCTGGGAACCCACCTTATGGTAGATTCGTCCAGGCCAGCATTTCTCAAATGTGGCCACCATGACTGCATGCGGCCACCAGGGGGTTTCTTGTGGCCACAGCCTTCTGGGATTTGATGGGGTGGGGCGGGTGTAAAAAAAAATAGCGGCCCCTCCACCTCCCTGTTGCTCCTGGATGCACCACCTTAGGCTATGTCTACACTACACCGCTTTTAGCTACATGGCTGTGTCGCTACAGCCGTGCCACTAAAACTCATGCTCTCCTGCTGACAAAAAACTTCCACCCCCAACGAGCAGCGTTTGTGTTCACGCACTGTTCACGTTGGCAATTGTTGCAGCAAAACTTTTGTCTTTCGGGGGGCGAGGTGGGGGGGATTAATACCTCTGAAAGACAAAAGTTTTGTCATTCAATTGCCAGTGTAGTCATAGCCTTAGGGCATGTCTTAACTAGCAACGTTAAAGCGTTGCCGCACCAGCACTGGGAGAGAGCTCTACCAGCACTATAAAAAAAACCCACCTTCCTGAGGGGAGACAGCTACCAACGCTGGTACACTGTCTACACTGCCACTTTACAGCGCTGAAACTTGCAGCACTCAGGGGGGTGTTTTTTCACACCCCGAGCGGGAAAGTTGCAGCGCTGTAAAGTGGCAGTGTAGACAAGGCCTCAGTGTTGATTGCTGGGACCGCCAGCCGGGGTTGGGCTCTGCGCCCCTCTGGAGACACCTGGGCACAACGCTGGAGGAGCAGACAGCTGGTGAGTTCCCCACCTTCCCGGGGTGGTGGGGCTCAGACTTTGGGCCTCAGTTCTGGGGTGGTGGGGCGGCAGGTTCTGGCCGAGGGGCTTCAGGCTCCAGCTCCGGGCTCTGGCTGAGCAGCGGCAGGCTCCAGGCTCTGGGGTTTCAGGCTCTGGCCGCAGGGCTTTAGGCTCCAGCCCCCCACTGACTCCCCCAGCCCTCCACCCTCCAACCCCCATTGTCCCTGGCCCCTGCTGCTTCCCCTGACCCCCAATACAGGGCTTAATTTGTCCCCAGGCTTGGCAGGGCTGAGTAAGTGTGCTGTGAAAAGTGATACTTGTATGTTTGTTAATATCATTTTTCATAACAGATTTACTAGCTAGCAATAAATAAATTACAATGATTTGGCCGTGTCTATGTGCATATTTATTTGTTTTTCCTAAAGCTAATTAAGTATTTTAGGGGAAAGTGTGAGAGCGGCACACTCTGAGGCTCCCAAAAAATTTGTCCTGAGAACCCCTGGTCTAGGCTATATTTCTCTGGTTTATGAGAAGCAAGAGAAGATCTCCTGGTTAAGCCAGGGTGGCCTCTTACTATACTTTCTATCTTGCTTCCTATCTTGAAAGTTTGAGGTGTGTTTCAACACATTAACCAACTATAATTATGTTATAAAGACTAGTTTGAGAATAGGTATTCCTACTTTCAGGAGATTACGCAATTAATTACACACTCAAAGAGGCATACATCAGATACAGTGTATCTGTCTTTGTACTGTACAGATCACAGATAATGTTCTCTCTTTAAACAGCATATTCTTCCACAATATGTCACACTGTATTACTCACAAGTAATAAATCCATGGTATTGAGTCTGCATAGTTCATAGTTAATACTGGGAGTATTTGTGTGAAGCAGAGCAGCTATTAGTCGAGCTCCATGAAGACGAGCATTCCCCAATGGCTCCTCCAAGACACCAATTGTAGTCAGGATTGACATTTTCTACCACAAACAGAAAAAGGAACCAGATTTTGAATCCATCTCTACATAGGTCAAAATGTCATTACTCTAATCAGACAGTCTGATTTTACATTCAGTCGGCTTCATATAAACCTCCTCGGCTAAGGAAACTGTTTGATGCCTAAGTCAGCCTTTCCTTCTACCCATTGAGTCATGTCCAGGGACAATACAGTAAGTGAAATTAAAGAACTTCTGAATCAAAACTAACAATATTCAGATAGTATTTTCTATATCAAATTTCAGAAAGCTACAACCACCAATGAGTAAATACAAATCTTTATTACAAAGGGCTCGTGACGGGACAGAAGTCCTCCCCTATAGGAGACAGAGCCACCTATTGATAATCTGACTATCCCCTGGGATTAATAGCAGACTTGCATGCCAATCAGAACATTCATGAATTCCAACAGGCTATATTTGGAAATGCTTCCTTTCCCCACACACGTCTCCAAAACCCTAGTTACAAATAAAACAATATCCTTAATGTTACTCAAATACAGCAACTCAGCCACCAAATCCCACCACTTGGTACCTAGACATCTAAAGTCTAAAACTGAACTCTGAATTTCTCTTTGAGGGTTTAAGTTAATTTATTGTAGGATTTGGTTTTTTTTAGTACATGATGCTTTTAGGTGAGCAAAACTGAAAATATCCAGGAGGTAAATGATCCTACACAGAGAGGAAAGAAAACCTCTGACGTGCATGTTGTCAGCTACTGTGAACACAGGAAGGGCTGAGGGGCTTTACCTTGGGGGGATTGAGTAGAAGCTGGTGAAAATCCTTTAACCGTGGTTCAATACCATGTAAGATGCTGCTATTGACAGTGTAAGACCTTTCAAATCCCTGAGAGAATGAGTCCATCAGTCCCTCCACTCTGTAGGGAGAAAGGTAAAATGTAATATTCAAAATTTGGACAAAATCACCAAGAGTAGTCATGCTTGACTTCATCAGAAACCCATCCCAGCCCTATTATCTGCCTTGTCATTCCCTCTTCAAATCCACAGCTATTTTCCAAGAGAAACTGTTTACTGCTGGCTGAAGTTTAAAATACTATGTAAATACAAATCCATGAAGCAGAGTGAGGTGACAGAGTAAATTACTGTTTACTCATCATACTAAGGACAGCAAGGAAAAAGAATTAAAATATGTCCTTGTGTTTAACATTTCTGAAATATTTAAGCATTAAAGATGTATCTGGAAGTGTTAATCTTGTACACAACTGTTAAACGCTATAACAAAACTTCAAGACATGTTTAGCAAGAATAATGCAAATACACTAGCTGATATAGCCCCGATCACTTGAGTATTTTTGAATGCACAACAAACATTAATGAACCCTTGAGAGGCAGGAAAGCATTATCTTCCTTTTATAGATGAAGAAATGAGCCACAGAGAAATTAAGTGATTTTCCCTGAGCCCCCACAAGCTATCTGTGGCAGAGGTGGAAACTGAATCCAGATGTCGAGTCACTGCCAGTGCCGTAACCACAAAATAATTCTTGCTTCGCAAGCCTCCTGATGGCCTTGCAAACCTACACTTCCTTCCGTCTGTTCTGAGCAAACAGGAAGGAGTTTCCGGTAGACGAGCAGTTCTGCTGAAAAGGATCTGGGGTTCTAGTCAATCACAAACGGAGTCAAGTCAACAAAGTGATGAAGTTGTGAAAAAGGCTATTATCGTTCTGGGGTGTATTAACTAGAGTGTTGCATGCAAGACAAAGGAGGTAATTGTCCTGGTCTACTCAGAACTGGTGAGGCCTCAGCTGAAGTAGTGTCCAATTCTGGGCACCACACTTTTGGGAAAGAGGTGGATAAACTGGAGACAGTCCAAAGGAGAGCAACAAAAATGATACCTTTTCATATAAAGATACAAAAGCCCCCCACTCTGCCCCCGTCCTCACTCCACCCCTTCCATGAGGCCCCTGCCCCTGCCCCACCTCTTCCCACCCTTTCCCTGCCCCTATTCCAACCCCTTCCCCAAATCCCTGCCCTGCCTCTTCTCCGCCTCCTCCCCCAAGCGCATGGCTCCCCGCTCCTCCCCCTCCATCCTGGAAAGTGCTAAGCACCGCCAAACAGCTGTTGGGTGGCAGGAAGTGCCTGGAGGTAGGCAGAGGAGCGGGGACGCAGCACACTGGGGGAAAGGGGGGGCAGCGGGTGAGGGGAGCTTGGCAGGCCACAGCAAATAACTCCGGTGGGGCGGGGAGCTTGGTGGGCTGCAGCAAATAACTCTGGGGCCGCAGCCGTGTGTTTGAGACCCCTGGCCTAGGTTTACTTGGTCCTGCCTCAGCACAGAGGGCTACATAGGATCACCTCTTGAGGTTCCTTCCAGCTCTACATTTCTAGGATTCCAGTCCCCATTTATTGTTTGGAGAGTTATTGGCCGACCTTGTGAGGTCCTTGCACTCAGCTTGGTGGCATTTTCTGTCTGGATGTAACATGATAAGTTTTGAACACCTCATCTGATCAAACTGTCAGGGAATGATCAGAGCCCTATTGATTATGGTAAAAAACAAAAAACAAAAAGGGGCAAACGGGGGCACGGAGCTCAAGGCATCTGGTTATCACAGCCACAATTTCAATCACTTCTAATTTTTCTACAGATCAAAGAACCTGCTGATGGCAGAAATTAGCATATTCCAGCATAACAATACCCATCTCTGACAGACTGAAGGAAACAGAGAGGAAGGAAGGGGAATGGAAAGGCATTTGGGGAAGGGGCACACAGAGAGTCCCTGACATGGGGGAGACTGGATAACTCGAGTATGGGGGAACAGGGGTGTGCCGGAGGCCCTGACATGAGGGGAATGAGTGACTCTTGTATGGGGGGAGGAGGGTATGAGGATGCAAAGAGCCCCTGGCATGGGGGATAAAGGTAGGTTTGGAGGCACGCAGGGAGATTATGGAGGGATGCTAGGAGTTCCTAGGTGTATGTAATGAGACAGTGAAGTGTGCCTCCCCTTAGTTATAGCATTCTCCCAGTCCAGATGTCTGAAGAAATTATTCTTCTGCCTACTGTATGCAACAGATGGGAGCGACCCAGCCAGGAACCTTTGAGCCCTGCCATTTCAGATCATCACAGCCCCAGGCTCTTTGGTGTCCACATCCCAATTTTTACAATTTCAGCTTTGAATATTATTTTCTGTTTGCTGGTTGATTGTTTGCCCAAGCCTTGTCCCCTGCCCTTCTTCCCCCACTACCAGCCCTCCATTCTCCCCTCCATTCTTCCTTTTGTTCCTCTTTCTTATTCTCCCTACCTCCCCCTTGATGCCTCTCTTCCATGTCTTCCTTTTCCTCACTCCCTTACTCCTGTTTATTCTTCCCCCTCCTGCCATTCTCCCTAATTTGCCCCCCCAAACATAGAAATAAAAAAATTAAAAAATTAAAAATGAAGAATTGGAACTAAAAAGCCACGTGCCCATCATAACCATGTTTATGTTGTACCTCTTTCTCCCACCTTCTGTTTTTATTTAGATTGTAAGTTCTCTGGTGTAAAGATGTGCTTTCCTATGTGTTTGCCCCTAGCAGAATGCGGTTACAACCCTGAGATGCTACCTGGAAGCACAACTATTGCATTTAAAAACAGCTTTTCTTGTATTTATTTTAGGCAGCCCCTGAAAGTATGCCAGGTACTTATTTTTTGAACAAAGTCAAACTAGATTTTGAGCTGTAACATTTTCTTGCTGAGAGGAGTAAACCTACCCAGAGCGCCTTGTCTCCAATAACGTTAATAAAATCTGAGTTCCATTCACTATGCAGTTTTCAGTCTGGTCTCCATCAAACATGTTTTTCAAAAGCTGCTCCACGCATTCCTGCCTGTTAAATGACACACAGGAGTTAAAGAAAGGCATTAGAGATACAAATAGTTTGCAGTATTAATTGTTTTAATTTTAAAACTACTCACTCCCTTTCTGAAATAAAGAAACAGCAATTCTTTGGAAGACAGATGAGGGGAACTCCCCTCTCAGTGGCAGATATGCCAGGGATGGACCTATGTCAGGTCTAGGAGTCTGCTTATCTATGGTTTGGGCATGTACCTGATTACACCACCGACCAAAAAGTGGCTCTATCTCCCATGAGCAGAGGAATGCCTCTACATTATGAGCTGCTAGCTGGCCAACGCAGTGCACTCAATCTATTTAACTTATCAAAGAGAAGGTTAAAAGGTAACTTGATCACAGTCTATAAGTACCTGTACAGATCCCATGGAGAAGATATCAAATGCTACTGGACTTTAATCTATCTGCCAAAGGCATAATAAGATCAAATGACTAGAAACTGAAGTCAGTAGGACTCAAACTGTAAATAAGATGCAAATTTTCAACAGTGGTGGTAATTGTCTACTGGAACAAATTACCACCAAGAAAAGTGGTAAAATCTACACCTTGGGGTGCCTTTAAGTAAAGATTTAATGTATTCCTAAGCAATATGCCCTAGCACCACCACAGGTTATTGGGCTACATGCACAAATCAATGGGGGAAAGCTGGTAGCCTGTTTTATGTTGTAGGTCAGGCTAGATTTCATAAGAGTCACCTCTGGCTTTAAAAACTATAAATAAACAGATGTGACTCTCCAACTCAGGCTTAGGGACTGACCAGCACAAATGTAGGCAGGTAGTACCTCTACTGCCTAATGTGTGGCAAACAGGCAATCCTTGATTGCCCATTTTGTGTCACTGTAGTCTAATGTGTACAATAAACAAAAGACAGCATCAAGACAAGGTTTTGGTTGGCACTGTGCAGTCTCTCACTCATCCATAATGATTTGAATGCAATCTCTATTTCCACATCTGTGTCCAAATCTCTTTTTCCAAAGTGGCTTCTACAAATATGTTTTGAACATTCCTCCAAAAACCAGTACAAAGGAGCTTTCCCACTTTGCAAGTCATAGGTGGGGCTACAAACAATGCTTTCCAAGTCTATGCACTTCAGTCGTTAATCCCTAACTCTCACTGCTTCCACAGGTTTTCACAAAGAGAGGTTATTTACCCTGAACAGTCACTGGAGCTCTCCGAGATGTGTGGTATCCCCTGTGTATTCCATTCGCAGTGCACATGTGCACCGTGCACCTGAAACACGAAGATTTTTCACTAGCAGTGTGTCCGTTGTCCAGGCCTGCACCCTTCTCCTCATGCTCCAAACCAAGGGTATAAAGGACCACTGAGGACCAATCACCTCTCCAGTTCCTTCTCTATCCCAAATAACTTTACAACAAGGATCCAGAGCAGAGGAGGAAGGTGGATAGTGGACTACAACTATGTACACATCTGGAAGAACTCCAGTTATCTCTTTTGCTTCTTCAAGTGATGGTCCCTGTGTGTATTCCACTTGCGATGACTCACAAGCAGTATACTCACAAGCAGTATTCACTGAGGAGGAGGGTGCAAGGGGCCCTGCTGTACCACAGAATAGATGACCATTCTCCCAAAGGATGCATCTGTTGTAGAATCTTGTACCATGGTGTACTGTCTCACAAAGGTTATGCACAGAGCCATATGTGGCTGCGCCACAGATCTCCAGAAGGGGGACATCACAGAAGGAAGCTACTGATGCAGCATGGATTCTGATCAAGTGGGCTCTAACACCTTGTGGGAGAGGTCACCGTTAACTCATAACAAACCAGGATGCAGTCTGAGATTCCCCTTCTCATAGGTTGGTGAAAGATACAAATAGTTTGGGAGATTTCCTGAAGGGTTTTGTCCTCTGCGGGCAGAATGTCAATGCTCGACGGACATCCAAAGAGTGGAGCTTCCTGTATTCTCTGGAGGCGTGGGGTTTTGAATAGAAGATGGGTAGATGGATGACATGGCTCAGATGGAATTCCAAGATTACTTTAGGAATCGACTTTGGATGTAACCTCAACGAAATTTTATCCTCATGGAAGACCATATAGGGAAGGTCCGCCATAAGAGCCCCAGCTCACCTGCTTTTCTGCTTGCAATCACTGCAGCCAGAAAGGCAACCTTCTTCACAGATGAGTGAAGATACATGAAGCTAAAGGCTCGAATGGGAGATTTGTTCATGCTGAAAGGACTGAAGTGAGGTCCCATATCACAGTAGATTTCAGCACTGAAGAAAGATTGTGACAAGCCCCTTCTGAAATCTTACTGTAGTCAGATGGGCAAAGACTGAATGATTGTCCACTGGAGAGTGAAAAACACTAATAGCTACCAAGTGTACTTGCATGGTGCTGAGGGACAGCTCTGAAATATTTAGAGATAGGAGATAGTCAGAAGAAGAAGGGATTTGGGAACTTTCTGGGGGTATCCAGCGATGCTGGCACCAGGTACAGAATGTTTTCCATTTCATTTTCTCCTGGAGTCTTTTCTGCTATTGCTAATGATGAATGGGATGGCCACTGAGCAAACCCTTTCTAAGCTCAGTGTTCATCCAAATACAAAGCTGCTAGCTGGAGAGATGTTGGATTGGGACAGAGGATCTTGCCCTTGTCCTGGGTCAAGGTGTGAGGACATCTAGAGAAAGCTGGTGAACCTGAATAGCCACTAGAATCACTGACACTTCGTCTTGTTTGCACTCTCTCAGGACTCAGGGCAAAAGGGAAAGGATGGGAATGAGTACATTGGTGGTTCCGAACGCTGTACTAGAAATGCATCTCCTCTGGAATTGTGGCCTCTGGCCGCTCAGGAACAGTAGGCTGTTCTCTTGCGATACAAAGAGATCCCCAAACAAGAATCTCCATTATTGACAGATGCTCTACAGTACCGAGGCATGCAGTTCCCACTCATGGTCTCTAGAGAAATGCCTGCTGAGGCAGTCTGAGAGAATGCTCTGCACCCCCAGAAGGTGCACTGCTGAGTGGGTGTCCTGGTGACAGATGCATCAATTCCAGAGACTGACAGCTTCTATATAAAGGTAAGTGGACTTTGCGTGAAACTATCTCTGTTAGTCAGGAGAAAAAACAGATGAAGCACTAATATAATATTCTGCTGAGGTGCCACCTAAATGTTCCTCCAAAGGGGATTTGTATGGTCTTTCTGAGGGAGTCTCATTCCATTCCTCAAAAATAGGTAGACCCTTTCTGCAGATGTGAGGGGTCTGGTGCAGGCATTGGTGCTGGCAAGGAAGTTTATGTTGGTGCTGAGTGAGGAATAGGCGTTGATGAGGGGGATCGGTGCTGAGGGAGACAATGGTGCCAGAAGAGGTATCAGGATCAGGAGGGAGGTTAATGCTGTAATTGTTCTCACAGTCTCCAGCAGGGCTTTCATGGAGTCCTGTATAAGGGCCACATAAGGAGCTGAAGAGGGCCTTGCATGATGCTTGGATCTGAGATGAGGGAAGAAGACTGGAATCTCGAAGTCGGGGACCCTCCAGCTTAATTTCTGAAGGGGATGAAGCTATTCTGAGGTGGTTCTGGATTGAGACCAGAGAAAGTCTATCCAGGTACCAAGCGAAGCAACAGAAAAGCATGCAGACAGGTGGCTAGTGGCTTCAATAGTGGATGCCCCTTGGGGAAAGAGAGACTAAAGGTTTTGGATCCAAAATAACAAGGAGTCTAAATTAGTCAGTCCAGAGACATCCCGCATAGAGAAGAGGTGACAGCAGTGCCATTTGAGCATCTTCAAAGAACTCATAGGTCAGAAAGCACAAAGGAGGAGAGAGATTGCACTTCCTTTTTTCTTCTGCTTGAGCCCCTCTTGTGGGAAGATGTGCTTCCTCTTCTCCTTCCTTTTACCTGGAGGAGCATCCATGTGGACTTTTGGTTCCAAAACAGAGGCATCAGCATCGGAAGACAAGTCCAGAGTCAGTTCCAAGAGCAAAAGTGCGAGTAAGGAGCGGACACCAAGGTCGGTGCTTCCTATATCATCACTAAAGGCTACTGAGGCCTTAATAGGTGGTGTCAGTACCTATTTAGATTAAACTGGCACCAGTGGAGTCAGATGGTGGTAGGTAAAGGATTTGCTCCCAGTAGTGGGCAAAAAAGATTCAGATCTCAAGCCTGTGATAAAGCACAGAGGTGAAGCCAGAGCAGAAAAATGTACCTTGGCATGAAGGCTGGTCTTGGTGCCCTTGATGGGCCTCTCTGAATATCAGGCTGAAGGCATTTAGAGCCTGGAACCTCAGGCATCAATCCCTTCTAGCACAGGCAGTGAATACACAGCAAACCATGCACTGGATTACCAAGTGGGTCTCGCCCAGACATAGAGAACACCAGATGTAGGTGTCCATTTCTGGTACAATCATCAGGCAAGAGGGCACATCTCTTAAAGCTCATACAAGACTCAGAGTCCAACACAGTCCTGGCGAGGAACTGAAGACCCTCAGGATGAGGGAAGCTATATAAATGGAGCTGTCGTATAATGCTCTAAACTAACTATTGATAAGAAAGCATTAAGCTAGGCTAAGAGAAGATCTAGTCTGAGGGCATGAGGGAAAGTTCAGTTTGCTCCCTGCAGCAGCAACAAAGGAACTGAAGCAGTTAAAGTTATGGATTCCCTTATATGGACTAGGGTGCTAACATCAACCTCATGCAAGATCTATCATGTGCCTCCTAACAGATCTGGCTTACCAAGGCAGTTCTGCAGCTAAGCAACTGGAGCGCCATATCCCTTGTGGGAATGCACAGAGGCTCTCTATTTTTTTTCCTGTATAAACTGAAAGCTTAGATTCTGCAGAATTACCTGCATCCTTCCACACACCGAGAAAGCTACCTACACTTGACGAGACAAGTGAATGAGTAGAATTTTCAAGCCCTAAACTCTCCTGTTTTTCATTTCACTACTTAAAGATGAGCTCCATTCAGTGAAACCCTATTTTTGACTCCCCCACCCCCTTCTTGACAAAATAATGCCTTTTGGCCTTAAAAAAAAAATCTCATGCTTAGTCTCAAAACTGAAGTGAATATTTTTAGAATGTTTGATACAATTAATTAGGAAATTACACACAAATCACTTATGTTAAAAGAACAGTATTAAGGTTGCAAAATCAAGCACCCAGAGGAAATGCCAGAATTCAGGTTGCCTGTGCAAACCCTCTGGGCTTATATTTTTCTATGGGGCCCCTTCCTAGTTCAGTGCACAGCATGGACTGTGCTCTGGGAATGGTTGTGTAGTGAAGGAGGCTATTGTCTGTAGGACCTCTACCTCATTTCTCACAGAAATTGGAAGGTGTGTAGAGAATGAGGCAGAGGATTGCAAGACGAGACAGGATGGTCTCATAGATAAGGCAACTGAATGCCACCCTGGAGAACTGAATTCTATCCCAACCCCTACCACAGAGTTTCTATGCAACACTGGACAAGTCACAAACTAAAATGTTCACAGGTGGCCACTAACTGTGTTTTTCTCACTTTCAGGGTGCCTCACGAGACACCTTGGGCCAGATCTCTAGAAGTGTTGATTGCAGCTGTGCTTGGAACATACAGCGTGCTAGAGAAATGCTACGTACACTTGAAAATCAAGCCCTAGACGTCTCAAGTTTGGCACCCAAAATTAATGGAGAGTTTTGGCTTTAAACTGTCCGAGCCTCAGATCCCCAGCTGTAAAATGGGGATACCACCCCTCAATCTCATAGGGGAGTTGTGTAAATAAATTAATGTCTATGAAGTAGTCAGATACTATGGTGAGAACATTATTACCATGATCTTCTTCTCAGTTCCCTTCTGTTTGTCACTCTCAACAGTGGTGTCTTTTTTATCAGCGTAGGCTTTTCAGGGCAGAGACCAAGTTTTCCTGTGTCTTTGTACAATGCAAAGTACAGTAAGGCTTGACTGGGGCCTTTGGGTGTTATCATAATGTAGCAACAATAAATATCATTAGTTAGAACCATTGTGAGGAGTGTGGCAAAGGTCTGAGATTATTTACTGCACAGTTCATGCCATGTCAGGAAATAACATTGCCAGCAACAGTCATTTTAGTTTTGTAATACTCTTCTGACATGTACTTACGATTCCAGTGCTGTGAGAAGCGGGTCAGGCTCAGATATCTCCTGTAGCTGGTTGCCCTGGTCTCTGCTCAGTCTTATGATATCACACAAGGTCTGGGAAGCATTTGATTGCCTCTGTAAACAATGTCAAAGGTCACATTTAAATACTAACTACACAGCTGGGTTCATCGTGACCTTCAGAGGAAATGTAATGCAGTTGGGACAGAAGAGAGAACAGCAGCCAGAAATCCATGAAAGCCAGCAGTACTCCAAGGTAACATGGAAGATCAGATATATTCTGCCTTAATTAACTAGCTTTCAATCCAAGCTTATATCTTCATAGCATCATTCATATCAGCAACATAATTAACAGAAAGATTTTAGATTCTTTAAATCATAAGTTAAAATAAACTAAAATTTAAAAATGAGGTTTTTCTTCTTTCCTTTTTAGGGCAAGACTGTTACTGCTGATGTTTCATCTTTGCTTATCTCTACTCAGTAATATTTCTTACTTCCTTAAAAATATGAAACACACAAAAGAGTTCTTTGACAAAATTCCTTAAATACCACTGGTTTGTGTTACAAACCTTTAGTTGCTGTATTTTTTTTGATTGTCTGTCATAACTATCTGGTTGCTAATCCAAGCCATTTGTTTAGACACTCTCCATTGCCATCTTGGTACTATAACCTTCACCTATTCAATAAGATTGCTGAAGATACCTAAGTTCACAAACTAGCTGTTTCCCATGTACTTTCACAAAGGGGTAACTTCAAATGTGATGACATCAGAATTTGACCCTTCCAGTAAAAGCACAAACAGCATTACAAGAAAATCATTATACAACCATTGAATTCATTTTGCTGCTGACAATTGTGGTGATGTGTTGGTGGTGAACAACCAGATCAAATACACCTAGCTAAAATAGAAATGGAAAATTACCCTAATGTTTTCTGGTCTTAACCTTTCAGCACCAGTGGCTGCAATCAGGATACCCAGATGTGATGGACTCATGTAATGGGCTAAACTCCAAAACCAAGATTATATGTTATGTGAAAATGGCTGGAAAAAAATAAATAATTTGAGCTGTCCTTTTTTATCTGTATAATCTAATACTTGGCACATTTCTTGCACAGGCTCAAATAAGTGCATCTTGTAGATTTTAGTAGGATATTAAAACAAAAACATTGTTTTTGGCTTAAAAAATTAGCTGAAGACCACTACTAGCCAGTTGTCAAAGTCTTTCAATAGCATACTCCAAGTAGCATGTTCTCAATAAACCTCATTGAATCATCATCGATTGTAAGGATTTCATCTAAATTCATATCATACAGAGTTTGGCTTAGAATAATCAGGAAACTGGTACTCAAATGACTAGAGAAAACCCCTTTAGTTGATGTCAGGCTCAGTACTCAAATGAAGGACAGCACTACCACACATACTCTCCATTACTATTCTCTTCCCATTAGCAAGATGGGCATTCTTCCAAGAGTTAGAGAAAGAGTACTCTCAAGTGCCCGTGCTTCTAGACCTCTTATTCAGTTTACAAAATCAGACAAAAAATAAATGATGTCACACTCACATCCTCATCCTGGCTCGAATGGATCAGCTCCACAAGTCTCTGAATTACTTTTGCTTCATTAAGCCACTGAGGAGAAAGGAAAGAGTCCCTGGTTTGAGATCACATAACTCGGTCAGTTACTACTTACGGCAAGCACTGCTTAGCATGGGATACATACAGTTAAGGAAAATTAGTCTCCCTCTATTTCACAATCTACAAGACATAAGCACTATACTCTACTTCCTCAGGGCTAGAAACTGTTGTATGTTAATTTGCACTGACCAAATAAACATCAAATCTTTGCTACGTATTGTCCCTGCAACAACTGCCAGACCAAGTCAGTAAATGTAATGGGAGTTGAAGCCAACTGAGATGGATTCACTATGTTTCTTAACACAAATAAGTATTATGGAATCTCAGAAAAGAGAGATGAATAACCTAATAGGTCATCAGATCCATTTCCTGGCCAATGCATATTTTTTTCCTACAATGTGTCTTCTTTTAAATCTCTAGTTTTATATATATAATAGATTAATAGATTCCAAAACCAAAAGGCACCTCTGTGATAATCTAATCTAATCTAACCTCCTGTATAACACAGACCATAAACTTCCCCACAATAATTCACAGAGCAGATATTTTACATAAAAAATATCCAATCTCGATTTTAAAACTGTCAGTGTTGGAGAATCCACCACGACCATTGGTGAACTGTTCCAATGGGTAATTACTTTCACTGCTAAAAATGTACATCTTACTTACACTCCAATCTGAATTTGTTTAACTTCAACTTCCAGCCATTGGATAGTGTTAGACCTTTATATGCTAGACTGAAGAGCTCATTATTAAATATTTGTTCCCCATGTGGGTAATCAAGTCACCGCATAACCTTCTCTAAGTTAAGCTAGATAGATTCAGAGCTTTGAATCTATTACTATAAGGCATGTTTTTGAGTCCTTCAGTCATTCTCAAGGCTCTTCTCTGAACCCTCTCCAATTTATCAACATTCTTGAATTGTGGACCCCAGAACCAATCCCTCTAGCACTCCATTAGAAACATACCTTTTTGATGATGACTGGCAGTTTACAATTACATTTTGAGACCTATCAATTATCCAGATTTTAATCCATTTAATGTGTCCTATTTTAATTTTATACCATCTGGGGGGGTCTGAATCAAAATTTCATACAGTACCAAGTCAAACACCTTAATTAAGTCTAAAGTCTCAAGCAATGGGCCTAGTAGTTTTTGTGATCTGACCTCAACCACAAAGGATACCTGTGCCAATACCACCTAGCATATTGTGCCCATAGATGAATAGGTTGTAAGGCCAAAAGGGACCACTGTGGTCATCTAGCCTGCCCTCCTGCATAACAGGCCAGAGAACTTCCATGAATTAATTCCTGTTTGAACTAGAGCAGATCTTTTAGAAAAACATCCACTCTTGATTTAAAAGTGGCCAGTAATGGAGAATCCACCACGACCCTTGGTAAGCTATTCCAGTGGTTAAGATGCAATTTTTTAACAGTGATGGTAATTATTTCCAGTTTGAATTTGTCCAATTTCAACTTCCAGACCACTGGAATTAAGATCAAGATATAGACAGACAAAGGAGTAACATCTTCAGAAAACACTGAGCAAGTTAGTCAAGAATGTGGTTTCCTGTCTGAATCTTAACTATGTTTATAGTCAAACTGGATTTACTAATCTGGGTTTTAACATGTGCTTTCTTCTCTTTCCTCTTCAGCCCAGTGAGGGAGCTGTTCTAGGGACACTAGGTCCCAGCAACCTGCTCCCCTCTCCAGGAGGCATCATTCCCCACCATTAACACTATCTGAACCTTTATTAGGACAGACTTTTACAAAGCCCCTTCTCTCCCAGAAGGGTCTCAGCCACCATCAACAACCAGAAAGGAAGTAAGAGGTGAGCAGGCTGATTACAAAGGAAACATTTCCTATCTGCGAAGTCTATTCGATCAAGGAATATTCTCCTAAGGAAAGTGGACACAGTACTCTAAAATATACTGCCATAACAATTCTGCATTAGCTGAGGGGAAAGGACAAGATCAATAAATCTAGTTATATGGTCCCCATCACCCTATCATCAAGTGTTTAAAGATGGTCCTGAAGCTCAGTTTACATTACAGAAAACTGTTAAAATTGTCAGTTGCCACAACAGTGCTGCTAGGGTAAACTTGGTCTTCCTACTTTCATAAAAAGTGGTCCTCCTTTGGTGTGGGACATTGATCCAACCCTTTACCTCCTCTCCTACCCGCTCCAACTATTGCGCTATCTCCTCTTATTCTCTTCACCTCCCAACTGACTAACCATGCCATCTATAACCATTATACCAAAGCTCCTCTCCTCCACTTCATCTCCAACTTGGCTTCTGCCCTCTCCACTCCTCTGAAACCGTTCTTACTGAAGCTTCTAGTGACTTCTTCCTAACCAAATCTCAGGACCTCTATTCCATCCTTTTTGATCTCTTAGCTGCTCTGAACACCGTTGACCATTCCCTAACTGTTCAAAATCCTGTCCTCCCTTAGTTTGTACAATCCCATCTGCTCCTAATTATCCTCCTACCTCTCTGTTCATTTCTTGTGTCTCATTTGGAGTCTCCCTCCTCCACCCATTTCCCTTTATCAGTGGGGGTCCCTCAGACTCCCTCCTCCTCCATCTACACCCACTTTCCAGGGGATCTTATATGCTGACGTGGCTTCAACTACCGTCTTCATGCTGATGACTCAAATTTATCTCTGTACCCCTGACCTGTCACTCCCTATCCAAATCCCACATCTTACGCCAGTCTCTTCAATATCTCCTTGTGTAAGTCCGGCAATCATCTTAATCTCAACAGGGCAAAAAAATGAACTCCCTTTCTTGCTATTGATATTACCACTATCCTCCCACTCAAACTCATAATATGGGCAGCTTTGACTTCACTCTCTCTCTCTTTAGACCCATACACCCTGTCCATATCTAAATTGTGCTATTTCTGTTGCCATAACACTTCCAAGAAACAGTCTATTCTCTTTGTCCATACAACTAAAACTACCATTCAAGTCCATATTTCATGTCTTGATCTCTTCTCTCCAGCCTACCTGACACCCACGTCACACAAACAATCCCAACCAAAATGCTGCTACTAAGACTAACCTGTCATTTTAATCAAGTTATAACCCCTTCTTTACATCCCTCCACTGGCTTCCCTTTCTCCACTGTGTCAAAATCCAACTTCTGGTCCTTCCCTTCAAGGCCCATCCCAATTTAGCTGCTCCCAACGTATCTGATCTTGTATCTTAAACACATAGTTCCTCCCTCTCTATTCCACAAAAGATGCCAGCATCCATTTCCTGTTTGTTCGCTTGTCCTACACATACCTCCACTCTCTCTATCACATGTGCATTGTATAGCACATGGCGACCCAAAGTTGCAGCTTGGGATAACAGCCTGATACTTTACCAATCTTTCTGGTGTGGCAGGAAATCCCTTTCCCTCTATTACGCTCTCCCAGGGTGCGTGAAGGAGGATATAAAGTTATAGCTTGTCTAGGGCAGCTCCTAAACCTAGTTTCACAATACTCAGTACACTTTTACCTGAGAGAAACTATCCTCTAATGTTTTTTTTGTTTGTTTGGCTGGTTTTTGACTATTTGATTCCCTCTCTCTGATTTGGGCTGTTAGCCTTCCTCCCTAAAAAGAAAGAACTCCTCCCTTTTTGGGGGGGTTGGGGAATATTCATGCCTAGAGGAATCAGCACACGTTCATGGTCTGATATTTGCCGTGCTGACCTGCCACGCTGCACTTCATGAAGGTGAGCAGGTGGACCAAGCGTTGATTTTAGTATTCATTTATTTTCCCTTTAGAAGCTTGTCCCCATGAGCCTGTTTCTGAGGGAGGAGCAAAACTGGGCTCAGAGATTGATAAACACAGGAACTATTTCTGGAGCAATCTCCCTGTCCTTGAAGAGGCTGGGCTTATTCATTTCCCCTCTTCCACATGGGCCCTTTATAGGTCTCTCAAGAAATGTATTGGCTTGGGGTTTACTGATGGGCTTCCCAGAAGCTCTGGCCCTCTCTGTGCATAGGATCCACATGGGCCAGATAGGTCTGTTTTTCCCATGGAGGTCTCAAGAAGGAATATGAGTAGGGATCCCCAAGGAGCCTGTTATTGAGACAGTTAGTCTGAAGGCCTGGGTACAGACCGTCGAATTGTGGAAGTCAACAAATGGCTACGCAGGTGGTGTCGGAGAGAAGGCTTTGGATTCTTCGACCATGGGATGGTGTTCCAAGAAGGAGGAGTGCTAGGCAGAGACAGGCTCCACCTAACGAAGAGAGGGAAGAACATCTTCGCAAGCAGGCTGGCTAACCTAGTGAGGAGGGCTTTAAACTAGGTTCACCGGGGGAAGGAGACCAAAGCCCTGAGGTAAGTGCGGAAATGGGATACTGGGAGGAAGCACGAGCAGGAGAGTGCAAGAGGGGAGGACTCCTGTCTCAGACTGAGAAAGCGGGACGATCAGCGAGTTATCTTAAGTGCCTATACACAAATGCAAGAAGCCTGGGAAACAAGCAGGGAGAACTGGAAGTCCTGGCACAGTCAAGGAACTATGATGTCATTGGAATAACAGAGACTTGGTGGGATAACTCACATGACTGGAGTACTGTCATGGATGGATATAAACTGTTCAGGAAGGACAAGCAGGGCAAAAAAGGTGGGGGAGTTGCATTGTATGTAAGAGAGGAGTATGACTGCTCAGAGCTCCGGTATGAAACTGCAGAAAAACCTGAGAGTCTCTGGATTAAGTTTAGAAGTGTGAGCAACAAGGGTGATGTTGTGGTGGGACTCTGCTATAGACCACCAGACCAGGGGGAGGAGGTGAACGAGGCTTTCTTCCGGCAACTAGCAGAAGTTACTAGATTGCAGGCCCTGGTTCTCATGGGAGACTTTAATCACCCTGATATCTGCTGGGAGAGCAATACAGCGGTGCACAGACAATCCAGGAAGTTTTTGGAAAGTGTAGGGGACAATTTCCTGGTGCAAGTGCTGGAGGAACCAACTAGGGGCAGAGCTCTTCTAGACCTGCTGCTCACAAACCGGGAAGAATTAGTAGGGGAAGCAAAAGTGGATGAGAACCTGGAAGGCAGTGACCATGAGATGGTAGAGTTCAGGATCCTGACACAAGGAAGAAAGGAGAGCAGCAGAATATGGACCCTGGACGTCAGAAAAGCAGACTTTGACTCCCTCAGGGAACTGATGGGCAGCATCCCCTGGGAGAACAACATGAGGGGGAAAGGAGTCCAGAAGAGCTGGCTGTATTTTAAAGAATCCTTATTGAGGTTGCAGGAAAAAACCATCCCAATGTGTAGAAAGAACAGTAAATATGGCAGGCGACCAGCTTGGCTTAACAGTGAAATCCTTGCTGACCGTAAACGCAAAAAAGAAGCTTACAAGAAGTGGAAGATTGGACAAATGACCAGGGAGGAGTATAAAAATAGTGCTCAGGCATGCAGGAGTGAAATCACGAAGGCCAAATCACACTTGGAGTAACAAGAAGGGTTTCTTCAGGTATGTTAGCAACAAGAAGAAAGTCAAGGAAAGTGTGGGCCCCTCACTGAATGAGGGAGGCAACCTAGTAACAGAGGATGTGGAAAAAGCTAATGTACTCAACGATTTTTTTGCCTCTGTCTTCACGAACAAGGTCAGCTCCCAGACTGGTCAGCTCCCGCTGGGCAGCACAGTATGGGGAGAAGGTGACCAGCCCTCTGTGGAGAAAGAAGTGGTTCGGGACTATTTAGAAAAACTGGACGAGCACAAGTCCATGGGGCCGGATGCGCTGCATCTGAGGGTGCTAAAGGAGTTGGCGGATGTGATTGCAGAGCCATTGGCCATTATCTTTGAAAACTCATAGCGATCGGGGGAGGTCCTGGATGACTGGAAAAAGGCTAATGTAGTGCCCATCTTTAAAAAAGGGAAGGAGGAGGATCCGGGGAACTACAGGCCAGTCAGCCTCACCTCAGTCCCTGGAAAAATCATGGAGCAGGTCTTCAAGGAATCAATTCTGAAGCACTTAGAGGAGAGGAAAGTGATCAGGAACAGTCAGCATGGATTCACCAAGGGGAAGTCATGCTTGACTAACCTAATTGCCTTCTATGAGGAGATAACGGACTCTGTGGATGAGGGGAAAGCAGTGGATGTGTTATTCCTTGACTTTAGCAAAGCTTTTGATACGGTCTCCCACAGTATTCTTGCCACCAAGTTAAAGAAGTATGGGATGGATGAATGGACTATAAGGTGGATAGAAAGCAGGCTAGATCGTCAGGCTCAGCAGATAGTGATCAACAGCTCCATGTCTAGCTGGCAGCCGGTTTCAAGTGGAGTGCCCCAGGGGTCGGTCCTGGGGCCGGTTTTGTTCAATATCTTCATTAATGATCTGGAGGATGGTGTGGACTGCACTCTCAGCAAGTTTGCAGATGACACTAAACTGGGAGGAGTGGTAGATACGCTGGAGGGTAGGGATAGGATATAGAGGGACCTAGAAAAATTAGAGGATTGGGCCAAAAGAAACCTGATGAGGTTCAACAAGGACAAGTGCAGAGTCCTGCACTTAGGACGGAAGAATCCCATGCACTGTTACAGACTAGGGACCGAATGGCTAGGAAGCAGTTCTGCAGAAAAGGACCTAGGGGTTACAGTGGACGAGAAGCTGGATATGAGTCAACAGTGTGCCCTTGTTGCCAAGAAGGCTAACGGCATTTTGGGCTGTATAAGTAGGGGCATTGCCAGCAGATTGAGGGACGTGATCATTCCCCTCTATTCGACATTGGTGAGGCCTCATCTGGAGTACTGTGTCCAGCTTTGGGCCCCACACTACAAGAAGGATGTGGAAAAATTGGAAAGAGTCCAGCGGAGGGCAACAAAAATGATTAGGGGGCTGGAGCACATGACTTATGAGGAGAGGCTGAGGGAACTGGGATTGTTTAGTCTCCAGAAGAGAAGAATGAGGGGGGATTTGATAGCTGCTTTCAACTACCTGAAAGGGGGTTCCAAAGAGGATGGATCTAGACTGTTCTCAGTGGTAGCAGATGACAGAACAAGGAGTAATGGTCTCAAGTTGCAGTGGGGGAGGTTTAGGTTGGATATTAGGAAAAACTTTTTTACTAGGAGGGTGGTGAAGCACTGGAATGGGTTACCTAGGGAGGTGGTGGAATCTCCTTCCTTAGAGGTTTTTACGGTCAGGCTTGACAAAGCCCTGGCTGGGATGATTTAGTTGGGAATTGGTCCTGCTTTGAGCAGGCGGTTGGACTAGATACCTCCTGAGGTCCCTTCCAACCCTGATATTCTATGATTCTATTAAATAAAGTTTGGAAATTCCCCTCAGAAAAGCTCAGCAGCAAAGAGGTCTTGTTGAGCCTGCTGCTCACTGGGGGCTCAGGAACAAACAATGGGATCTTCAGGAGGTGGCGCATTCCTGTTGCCAGTGACCGACAGGCCTAATTCTGCCCCCAAACTACAAGCGGGTTGACGTACCTATTGCACCAGATCTGTGGCTCTTAGCACAAGCAAGAAAAATATGTTTTTAGAAGAGGAGTGAATTTACTCTCGTATTACTTGAAACTGAGTAATATCTCCTCAGAAATGCTTTCTTCCCCCCACACCAACCACAGAGAAACGTTAAGCAAGCCTCACGTTTAATACTTCCTGCCGTAGAGGTGCTGGTTCCACGCAGCTGATCAGACGAAGCAGCAGGTCCATCATTGCAGATGTATCAATATGCTTTAGTACCAGGCTAATAAATTGATCTTTATCTCTCAAAAATGCAATCACCTTTAAAAGAAAAAAATGCAACATGACTTTTCTGTACAATACATGGAGGTGACATCACAGAGCTCTCAGTACTCCCCAAATTTGTGTTTCAATCAACCAAACAATGAGAAACAGCTAGGAGGATAAAGAATTCTTCTTGAGAGAGAATAGGGAAGCAAAGGAACTTCTGAAAGCAAGGAAATGCCAAACAGAGCTCCATTAACAGTCCTTTGTCATATCCCAAAGAAATCCTATTCCACTGAGATATATGGGGATTGAGGATACTGGTGAAGCTGAAGAATTTTTAATCCCACTGAGGCTCCTTTGTATAAAATATCTCCATGTTAAAAGGAAGTAAAATTTGGAATGGAGTTAACTCATCTCCATAATACTGTATGGCAAATATTCCAAGCCTCTTAGCTGTATGCACAATACTTGTATGACAAGTTTATATGTTAAAACGTCAAAGTATGGGCAATGTGCAATACCCCAGACACAACTGCCCCTCTGAAGCAAAAGTGAAAGCTATATACTAGTTCAGGGGTAGGCAACCTGTGGCACGTGAGCTGATTTTCAGTGGCACTCACACTGCCTGGGTCCTGGCCATCGGTCCGGGGGGCTCTGCATTTTAATTTAATTTTAAATGAAGCTTCTTAAACATTTTAAAAACCTTATTTACTTTACATACAACAATAGTTTAGTTCTATATTATAGGCTTATAGAAAGAGACCTTCTAAAAATGTTAAAATGTATTACTGGCACGCGAAACCTTAAATTCGAGTGAATAAATGAAGACTCAGCACACCACTTCTAAAAGGTTGCCGACCCCTGTACTAATTGCTAAGTGCATAAACAATTCACACACATCAAAATGGTAGGGTTGACAAGATGCCTTACAAAATGCATACTCCATTTCCAATTCCAGCAATCCACACCAGATCTACAAAGCTCAGCATTTTCCTCCTCTGGGGAGGAGGGAAGAAATTGCCAGTTCAGTGCTCATACAACCACATCACTAGTAATCAGTGTGTTTGTATCAAAACAGACTCAATCGCTACCTGTTCAGTTTTTCTTGCAATGAGATTCCCAATAGTCTTGCTGAAGAAACTGGCAAGCAAAGGGTTCAAAGGCGGCTCGTGATGCAAGAAGTCATACAGGATGTTCAATAAAGTTTCATCTCCTCCTAGCTTGTCGTTGATCTGTGGCACATCAGAGGTCAGGAGTTCACAGGCTGTATTCGGATATCTAGAGACACAGAACCAAAGCAGCAACTGAAGGTGAGATTAGAGCCTTCTACAAATTCTTAGAAGACAGCTGAAATAATAATTCCTATGAAATAAAGCCACAACACAAATCCCTCAATCCATTTATGATACAAGAACTCACTTCAGAACTCCAGCTTTGGACGGGTTTCCTCAAGCAATGCCCAACTCAATCTGCCCACCTACAAGTGACTCACAGAGGCTCACTTAGGAGATCCCAAGAGAGCACCAGGCACACGGAGAGCTGGGGGAAGGAGGGCAGCACCACCCATCCCTGACAAATATCTGTAGCTGCATTTAGGGCAGCATGAGAACGAATCTCCTTCCCCAAAAAAGGGGAGAAAGAGGGCCTGACAATGGAGAGGTGGGAGTGCTCTTGAGGAGATGAATAGGCCAGTTACAGTGAAGACAGCTCTGAATGCTGAGATCCCTGCAGAGCTACCATCCCATCCCATGCCACTTCCCAATGGAACTCTGTGGTCACAAGGGAGGGAGAAGAAATAGAACCTGTGGGTTTTCTATCTGGACCCTCTTTCCACTACTAGCAGAGTTGGCAGTTTTTTTCCTTCCCAAACCCCTCTCTGCACCCCAGCCCCAAAATTGAGTTTATTTTTTCCTGAGAATACACTGTGAAACAAACCAAGAAGTTTTGGAAAAGAAACATAACACTCTCACTTTGTAAGTAAGTATATTCATTCCTCAAATACAAAATGCTACACACATCATCCAAAGGAAGCCCCTGCAATTCTGTAAGTAAAATACAAGAACAAGATAATAAAATCCTCACAGTCTATTAGTTAAACAAGGCCTATCACTCTTTTGTATCATTAGATACTGACCAACTTTTGCCAACTTACTTGCTTTTTCAGCACCTAGCCTATTACAACATTTTGACCAAATCAATCCAAATATGCTAATGAAAAATCTAAAAAAAAAAAAAATTAATGCTCAGTATGCTGGGCAGGTGTATGGTTCTCTTAAAAACCTACAAAACTATTTGCTTTCCAGTGGAAGAAGAGAGGGGAGAGGGGGAAATCCAATGAAACCAGAAGCTGGGAATGAGCGACAGGGAATGGATCACTTGATGATTACCTGTTCTGTTCATCCCCTTTGGGGCACCTGGCATTGGCCACTGTTGGAAGACAGGATACTAGGCTAGATGGACCTTTGATCTAACCCAGTATGGACGTTCTTGTGTTCTTAAAATAGATAGAACATTTTCTATTCAAACTGTTTCGTTAAAAAAAACCCAACTATGAAAAAATTTAAACAAAACAATTGGTTAGCTCCATAGCAACACGTATTGACTATCTTCTAAGCATTTACTCCTCAAAAATTGTGTTAGTTTGTGTGTCAAATGTACTGTCTGCAGATAAGGGAGTGACAGTCACTGCTAGTGCTGACTCTGTGCACACACTATTGCAAATGTATCTGTAGACTTCTATTTCAAGATAACTATAATAGATATTAAACTCACGTTACAGTTCCCACTGAAAATATTTAACCAAAAATGCAGCTCAGCATCCTTTACAAGCCAGGATAAGGGCTGCAAGATTGTTCTTCTATGTGTGATTTAATGTCTTATAAAAATTCTACTGGGCCCTTTGTGGAATGTTGACAGCTTCAGAGAAGGGTTAATTATTCAATTTAAGCCCCAACAGGCATAACTGATAAAGGTCACAATAGTTACGGCCCCAATTATATTTACAGGCTATGATTCTCCAGACACTAAGACAGAGCCCAATAAATCAGCGGTGACACCACGAGAATAAAAGGAAAATGTCAGCCCTTCCAAGTCAGTGGCCTGTGTGTCTCCAATTTAGAAGACAAAAGACAGTTACCGACCTGTACAGTAACTATTGTTCTTTGAGATGTGGGTGCAGACATGTATTCCGCTCAAGTGTGCATGCGCCCAGAGCATCAAAGCCAGAGAACTTTGTCCAGCAGTATCCATAGGGCAGCGCTTGTGCCCTCTTGCCCAATAACTCCTCTCCTTGATATTTAAGGGCAGCACAGGCTCCTACCCCCACAGTTCCTTCACAGCGAATGTCAAGAGTTGGGACTCCAACGCAGTGGAGGTGGAGGACAGGTCGTGGAATACACGTCTGCACCCACATCTCGAAGAACAACAGTTACTGTACAGGTAGACAGTAGTCTTCTTCAAGTGGCTGCAGACATGTACTTCGCTCAGGTGACTCACAAGCTGTAACAGTAGGAGGTGGGGCTCGGAGGTTACTTAAAGAACGACTGCAGAACTGCCTTTCCAAAGTTTACTACTGCTTCTAGGTCAATAGCATCACTGAAGAATGCTACTGATGTCACTTGGGCCCTCACTGAATGTGCCTGTAACCTCTACGGAGACGTGGTCTGAGCTATTTCATATGTCATCATTGTGATTGCCTCGGGCAACAGACTAACTTCAACCACACTTGAAGACGATGATGGAGCAATCTCACATGCTGGACTTGCAAGTGCTTGCGGCCATATGGCCTAGTAACTTCAGGAATACATGGACCATAGCTGAAGGTTGAGATTGGAGTGCCAGACATAGGAGACAAATTGCTTGAAATCAATCATTCAGCAGAAATGCTCTCGAACTCAGAGTCTAGTAGGGCACCAATTAACTCAATGTTTTGAGTTGGTATTAACATCAACTTTCCTTTGTTCAAAATCAGGCCCAGATAATCAAAGAGACAGTGTGAACTGGACATGACAGAGGACTTGTTCTCTGGACTTGCCTCTCACTAACCAACTGTCCAGGGATGGAAGGACATGAAACCCTCTTATTCGGAGATATTCTGCTACTACAGTCATGCATTTGGTAAATACCCACAGAGCAGAGGACAGCCCAAAAGGAAGCACAGTGTATGGATAATGCTCACCTGCCTCTAGAAATCTCAAACCTCCTGTGGCTTAGGAAAATCACCTCATGGAAGGAAGCATCCTGAAGATTGAGGGCAGCAAATCAACTGTTGTGATTCAAAGAGGGAAAAATAGTCGCTAGGGTAACCATGCGAAATCTCATATATTTGATGTACTTGTTAAGACTGTGGAGATTGAAGCTAGGTCTCATCCCTCCCTGGGATTTGGGGAATGAAGAAGTACTGAGAGTAGAATCCCTTTCCCCAATTCTGAAGAGGGACTTCTTCTATGGCCCCTGAAGCCTCGAGAGCTTACACCTGGTGAAGAAGCAGGGTCTTGAGAGGGGGGTCCCTGAAAAGGGATGGGGAATGGACAGGAATTGAATAACATAACCCAGTCTCATGGTGCTTTGGACCCACTTGTCCATAGTTATTAACTCCCAAGCCTTGTGGAAGTGGGATAGTCTAACCCAAGAGGGAGGGGAAATGGCTTGAAACTCAACGACTGGAATGCCAACACTGGAGAGTCAGATTGGCTGCTTGCCTGAAGCTGATGAAGGATGGGCTGACTGAATAAAATTGGCACCAGAAAACCTTCTCCTATGAGACTTGTGCCCCTTGTGTTTAGCGGGATAATATGACCTAAGGAACCGCTGAAGGCGTTATTGGTGTTGTCGCCCCAAGAAGTGATGCCTCTATTACCAGTGTAAAACCCCCCAATGAACACAGCTTAGCTTGAAAGGACTTAAAGGAATGTAATGTTTCGTCAGTTATCCCTGAAAACTGAAATTGGACATCAAAGGGTAAGGTTCTCAATCATCTGTTGGACCTCAGGAACTATACCAGAGTTCTGCAACCATGAAGACCTTCTCCTTGTTACAGCGGAGGCTGTAATTCTAGAGGAAATGTCAACCATGTCCAAAACTGACTGCAGTGATATCCTCACCACTAGACGAGCTTCTGCAATGAAAGCCTTAAAACTCTTTCCTGGAGGATTCTGGCAACTTACCTGAAAATTTTGCCATTGATTTCCAATTTACAAAGTCAAACTTTAATAAGAGTGCTTGCTTATTGGTAATGTGCATTTGTAAGAATAAGGTAGAATAAATTTTCCTCCCCAACAAGTTCAATCTTTTAGAATCCTTGTCCTTGGTGTCAACTTGTATCTCCCCTGTATCAACCTCTCATTAGCCACCATTACGACAAGAGAGTTAGATGCCAGATATGAGTGGAAGCACTTGAAACCATGCAGAGGCACATAGTATCTCTTATTGGTATGCTTTGCTGTGGGTGGTAAGGGCGCTGGGGTGTTCCAAAAAGTTTTTGCCAGTTCCAAGATCACTTCATTTATCCTCCCTGGATCTGAGGATTACAGAATATCCAGCAACTTGTGTTCTCCTGAACAAACTTAGCCTGAATACCCAAGGCTGAAGCCATGCATCTCAGAAGGTCCTGGTATGATTTAAAATCCTAAGGTACAGGGAAGGAAGAGTCTGGCATTGCAGAGTCATCTTCTGATGAATGAGAGGAAAGAAGTAGAGCCAATCGAACCTCCTGTGGTGCCCGTAACAGTTCAGGCTGAACCAGTTCCGCAGGAGCAACCGCTAAACTGTGGTTGCAGCAATGGATGTTGAGGAGAAAAGGCTACTGGAGGAATAGGTGACCTTGCTCTGGGCTGCATCGAGGATCAAGACCAAGCCAACCACAGAAAATCCCAGTGATTCCAAGGAGCCACTGTGGGCGGGAGTATGGCTCTGGTGGTCAGCAGGAACTGGGCTAAGGACCTTATCTCTGCTCCGGGAGCAGTGCCGATCTCTGTACCAACAGTGATCCCCAGGAGGTCTCAACAACTTTCGAAAGGGATAACAAGGTGGCATGGTAGAGAAGGAGAACGTCTCTGAGTCCAACCCTGAGGATCCGTCCAAGTAGTCCACAGGCAACAGAGGAGTCGTCCCAGGAGCGGCCAGCAAACGTCTAACTTCATCCAAAGTCCAGCACAAAGGACACATCATTTCTGACAAAGATAAAGGAGTCAGTGCCTGAAACACTGATAAAGGCCTCACACGCGACACTGGAGCGGACGTCAGCACCAAAGTCGAAACCGGCACGTTCCCACACATGAAATGTGCACTGGAGTCATCATCGGCACCGAAGATCATGCCTGCACTGACAATCCCCTCAGTACGGAAAAGGCAGCAACCTCAATTCAGCACTGTGAGCAGGGAGAGGCCCAGAAGATGGCACCAACAATAACGGCAGGTGTGCAATCAGTTCAGACAGCACTGAGGACACCAAAGCAGCAGCAACCACAGCCAAACATTCTCGAATTAGAGGAGAATCAGGAACAGACAGGCAAAGTAAGTCTAATGGTGGTGTGGAAACCCTGGGTCCGACACCGACATCATTGGTACTGGACTCAACAGATGCCCCACAGATGGTACCAGTGTCAACGATATCAAGTCCACTTGTTCTTACCTTGACACCCGAGAGCAGTAGATGGCCCTGCTCTATCTCACATACTGGATGAACCATGGTACTGGTCTACACTCCTCTTAGATGGGAAGGAGGAATACCTCCTAGCTCTGGAACGGCCCCAGTCCATTTTATGAGATCTTTGTCTAGGAGGACCAGAGAAAGGAGAACAGTCTCTCTTCCTCCTAGGACAGGAATCTGAATCTGGCTAAACAACAGCCAGTGCCCACTCGGACATACTCAAGGGGCAGCTGACAATCTGTGGAGGTCGCCAGTATCACAGTGGGCCTCATGGCCTGCTTCAGAAGGTGCTGCTTCAAACACAAGTCCCTCGCCAGCTGGGTTCTTTTCTTCAATGATCTGCAGATGGAGCACCTTTCTTTAATGTGCTCTTCTCCCAGGCACAACTAACATCGCATGTAGGGGTCACTAGTGGGGATAACCACCCCACGCAATGGACAATGTGGGCATCTGTAACAGGGTGCTATCAGCAGCACCCTGGTCACTTACAGTGCTGCATCCTGGAGAAGGCTGCAGGACCAGCTGAGGGCAATTACATGCTTTCTGGTGGGGAATAGTGAGCACCGGGGTGACAATCACAGGGCTAACAAGAAAACTGGGGAGAATAGAAGGAGAAAACAGGAAGTAAGAGGGAGCGCAAGAGGCACTCAGAAGAAAACTCAGAGGGTGAGCCTGGGCTGAGGAGTGAGGGCTGCAGGGAAGCCTGTCTTGGCTATAGCCAGTGTTGCACAGTATTGTTATGTAAGAGGGGAATAAATGCACACCTTGGTGAAAGCTAAACGGCCTTGTGTGCGTTTGTGACTGTGAAACCATCTGAACTGGCTAAGCAGAGAGGTTCACTGGGTAGTGACAGAGGCATCTTGTGACAGCAAGACACCAGATAAATATCTATCTTAACTAACTACTACTCACTAAAGCTAAGGGTACTACTAAACTATACTATTAACTACATACAACAATGTCCCAGAAAGACTGAGTTAGAGAACTTTGAGGTGCATTACCACACAGAACACTCCAACTCTAGCTACGAACTGTGAGAATGAACTAAGAAGGATCGGGGTGGCACTGTCCTTAAATAGCCAGAGAAGGAGCTATTGGGAGAGAGGAGGTGAGCGCCAACCCTATGGGTACTGATAGGCAAAGTTCTCCAGATCTGGTGCGCTAGCCGTGTTAAGTGGAATACACATCTGCAAGCACTCAAAAAAACAAAAACAAAAAAAAACCCACAAACTGCTGAGCAGTTCCACTTCCACCTAGGTGAGGCTCTGTGAAAACTCCAAGTAGCATTTGCTTCTCAGATGACTTTAGCCAGGTATGCTGCTCCCTTAGGCCGGGTCTTCTGGCAGTTCTTGTATCAGTAAAGCTATTTCAGTTGGGGAGAGGATGATTTTTTACCAAAATAGTTTTATACTGGACCAACCCCTAATGTGAACACAACGATAAGGAAATCACTATGCAAGTATAAAGCATCTTAATACTGGTATAACTGTATCCGCAATCGGGGGGTTGCAGCACTTTAATTATAACGGCACAGTTAAAGTCATACAACTTTTGTGTGTAGACGAACCATTATACTAAATTTAGCTTCAGGAATAAATCATCCAGAGAGAAAGGAGAGAGGAAGTTTACTAAATAGCTCTCAGATTAGCTGATAACTTTGCACTAACACAAAGATTGTATTATATATACACACTTCACCCATGTTGAAATATGAGCTTTCAGAAAGTATGGGAATGGTTCGGAGGTTGGAAGGCAAACCACACTACACAAAGGCAAATGCACAAAATCTAAAACTCGTAAGACTTCATGCACACAGTTTAAGATGAGAAGACAACAATGAGCATATCTCATGATCTTTCTTATTTGTAACTCTCACTCTCTTCACCCTTAGTTTAGAGTCATCCCAGGCTGTTACATCTAGTTTAGACTATAAACTCCTTGGAATAGTAACCCACCATTGTTTTGTCTGTGAAACGTCATGCACATATAACGGCACAGTTTAAATAAAGCTTAAAATTCTACAGATCCCTTTGCAAATAAGGTGTAGGTCTAAGAAGAGATTTTCTCTTCTGCCTCTCAGCAAAAAGATTAGAGGTACTAACTGTCTGGTGATGATGCTGAGCAGTGATGCTGATGACAACCACGAAAAAATGAAAAGAAAAAGAACTTAAAGAACTAGGTCTGGTTAAATGGAGCAATTACAGTGCTCTGCCCTGACACATGAAACTCATGGATTTGTTTTCTTGGCACTGATCACTCATACCCCCAGAACATGCTTAGACCCTAGTTTGCCTCACATTGCTCAACATCACTCCATCTCATTAAGCAGTAGCACTAATGGACTCCTAAAGCAAATCCTGCCCAGTCCTCCTTAGCCAGAAAGGGGGAAAATGGGTGGAGGGCTCCATTAAGGACTCTGAAGATTAGCCTCACCAATGCATATTATTCTGGAATGTAAAAGAACAATGGAGAAAGCCATAATAATGTTGCCTGTATAAACTCTGGTACTACAAGTTATTTGGCGAATCTTCATTCGTAAAATAATGACAATCTAATAATAACCATTCCTGGTTCCTTCTAACTTCTCAGATTTTATAACAGAAATATTACCACAGTAGCCACAAGAATACAGTAACTTTTCACATTGTTTCATGACATTCACATGCCTGAATATATTCACACACAAAAACATTTCACTACCTTACATACACATTAAGTTACTAATACTGTCACTATAGACAGTGTTGTTAATTTAATGCGTATTTAAGATAGTGAGATATAGATTTCTAGTGACAATGGTAATAACTAACCCCTGATCAAACCCCAGGAGCACAGTCACATACACTTGCATATGTACATCAAGATTTCTGACATAAATTTAACAAAGAAAAAAACAGCAAATTCCCCAACTCCAAAACAAAGGAGTTTGGTCACATTAGAAAAGAGTAATAAGTGAAGCATGCATGTGTAAATACAACTCAATACAATAAACAAACACTACAAAAAGGTACAAGATCTTTCCACACACCCTAATCCAAAAGTGTATTCACTATTTTAGTGCACCTTCTAATAATTCTGCAATTTTTATGTATGCGGACTCCACAAATTCCAAAACTTTATTCCTGGGAGAGGTCCCTATATTTTATGGACTACATCAATTTTAAGTCAACAGCCCTCAATGAATCTATACCTCAATGAGCATCATTACTGTCATTTCTGGGATTCTGACCGCAGAATGATGGCCTGGGAGAGATTCTGAAACACAACTGATCTCTCTGCTTAATTAAAAGAAACAGAAGAGATGAATTTTTGCATATAAAAACACTGCATATAAACTCAATGGAGTAATATGAAAAACAGAGCAAGAAATAGAATATTGTGATGTAATATTCACTGTGAATCACAAAATAATCAAATATTTATTTCACAACCTGAACCTCAAGGCCTTTTTCCAAGGCAGGAGGTTTCATCAGCCTTGCACCAGAGAAGAATTTCTGCAGCCAATTCTCCAATTCATTTTTCTTCCCATAAAAGAAAGAATCTGTGTACGTACTTGAAGCGGACCTTCTCGTCCATGTCCACGGGGGGCTCATGTGTGATGAGGCTAACCAGCTCCTCCATGCAGTGCTGCTGGCAGATGAAGTCCAGCAGTTTGCGGTTCTGTGCCTTGCACTCCTGTAGGATGTCATCTTCATCCATCAGCTCGTGCAGTGTCACATCCTCCTTATCCAGCAGCTTGTCCACATGTGATGTTGTGTTCAAATCAAACTTCCAGAACATGATGATGGAACACTCCCAGCTGTAATGCAAGAGAGTAAGTGTTAATACTCAGCCTCCACAAGTCAAATGAAGATACAGTAAGGGTCTTTTCAGGGTTCCTTATCCTGTCTCTGAAAAGGAAATAAAAATGAGTTAAATTATTTAAGCAAAATGAAATACACATTTATGTGACTAAAATATTAATCAGCACCCTCCATGCTACATCTCTATGCCTTAAGGTTCAATCCTGCAAGGTACTAAGCACTCTGACCCCAATAAAGTAAAGTATTTAAGCATGTGCTTAATTTTAAGCAAAATAGTCCCACTTAAGTCAATGTGAGTGCTCAAGTTAAGAAAGTGCTTAAATGTTTTGCTGTGCTTCAAGTGCTCTCTATCTTGCAGGATTAAGCGCTTCCATTGTAAATATAGGGTTAATTTTTCACGACATTAGTTATAAGGATCACAACCAAAGAAGTTAAATAGGTGAAATTTACTTATCAGTATTTTTTCCTACTCTGAAATGAGCACCTTCTGCTCCATGATAACTGGTTTATTGTTTTCTCATCTTCCAAGCACAGAGAGAGGCTCCTTAAAAACCCTCTTTCTAGCTACAAAATGGAAAGGGAAAGACTAAGAACCTTTTGTCCAAGTGTCATATCAGACAAAGACAACATATCTATTTTAAAATGATAAAGAAATGCACTGAAGACCAGACAACCACACTGCACAATTTTTTAAATGAAGCACTATGCTGTTCTGTGCAGGAAATGGCCACATGTTGAGCCCTCACAGAAGGAGATGGGATCTTTTATGATATTTTGTAGGCCTGAGAAACCCCTGAATTTATCCATCTGGAAATAGAGGATATGGATGCTTTGCACCCTTTCTTAGGTCACTCATCTACTCCTGAACTTGAATCTAATTTCCTGCAAGGATTAGTTAAGCATAAACAGAATTTGAATATCCGGACCATAATTAAAGTCCATGACTGATTAAAAGAAGGCAAATAGACTGGATCAAGTTAAAACCATAATTCTGGAGGACAAAATTCTGAGGCAGGCCTGAAAATTATCTCATCTGGGAAAAATTGTAAGTATTCCAGATAGGTAAGGCACTTGATTTTACTAACTCTTCTGGTCAACATAATTGCTAACAGGAAAAACAATATTTTAATGGAAACTACAGGGAAGGTCCTCTCAGTAAATGAAGGTTCAGAGATTACATCAAACCATAGTCAAAATGGCATCTCTACAGAGACACAGCTTTCAGGAATTAGAAAATGTGAAGTTGCTGCCAACACAGGTTAGAAATGGAACCAATATGCTCCAAGACTCCTAACATTGAGTTTTGGACCTTCAGGAAGCTGGGAATCAGACCCAATCAAGATCTCAGTTTAAGAGAAGGAATTTCAATATATCCCTGGTTGTGAGGCCACATGCGATTTTTGTCCTTTAAAGGTCACCATGAGGATCAAATTTTCAGAATCTCTTGAAATGTCCAGATTTGGGGACAGTTTCTAAGTTTACAAGCTCTCCTGAATATTCATCGCTCTAACAGGCAAAATGCCTCAGGTTCCAGGCTAAGAATCTCAAAGTGCTTTAAATCTGGGAGTTTAAGAGAATCCTGGAATTTAATTTTTCCCAGTCCAGGACGTTCAGGAACGCTGAACTGACATATGCAGGCGTCTGAGAGACTATGGGTCTCTGTACCACTACATTTCTGTTAACTGCTTGAAGATTAAATTATTTAGTTCCCATTCTCATTTGCCCAAGTGGCATGTGCTTAGAAAGCTGACCTATAGGTTTCTCTTTTGCTAAAATGTAGGTGATTTTAACTCTGAGATGCCTTTTAAAATATTAAATTAAAAATGTAAGTTGTGAGCCCCCCAGAACAGCCTAAATGAGGCTTTTGAAAGCACCCAGTGGGTACTACTATAAACAATCCATCTAAGTAATAAATCAACAAAACCATCTGCCTCAGGAGCAAGAGAATTTCCCCTTGCTTCATTCAGAACTTTTAACTTCTATTTTCTTGCTCCAGCCTGGAAGTGCCAGTACGCAATAGAGGTCTTACTGTTGTTTCTCATATGAACCACAATCAAGTCCAGTAGAAATCTCATGAGTAGAGAGAAAACCACCTTCTTAACTGCTTAAAACCCTAGGACATTGGTGTGATCATCTTCCTGGGACAATCATGTGCCTAGAATTGTATAGGGCCAACCTGAGCTTACTCAGGTGCACAGAAGATAATCTGGTTCCTGATACTGAACATAATCAGGATATTTTGTAAAGTACAAAAATGCATCGCCACCATGGAACAGTTTCCAAATCCAGCAACTGTCCTAACAAAAGTAACTAGAGTCTCTGAATAGAAAGTACTCGAGGAGTTCCTAGAAGAAATACAAATTGTAACATCCTTCTGGGCAACTCGTTTAGAACCACAAATGTTCCACAGAATGCCTAGAGGTGGGCCAGATCCTGGCAGGGCACTAAGGAATTCCTCTGAAACATATATAAAGAAGTGAAGGATGCAAGCAGCTGAAAGACCTCATCAATATGTGCAGATACTATTTCATAAGGGTGGGCTATGAAGGAGTTGTCTATGATCATCCTGTTATAGACTGCTCATCAGAGACACCATCAAACTGATGAGAAAACAAGGAATAGGTGAAAAGTGAAGGCCTGGAATTGAAAATGGGGCCACAATTTTACAAAGTGCAAGTAGTTTTGGTACTATAAGCAAACTAGCACATGCATACAGTCTTCCTTGTAGGACAATGAAAATCCTGAGGAGAATTCTTTATCAGAAAGACCAGCACTTCATGAAGTATCGGGCCTTGAACACCATCAATCAGCCTGGACAGAACCAGCACTGGTGAAGTCTGTCTGTTCCCTTTCCTTCCAAAAAGAGTCCAGAATGAACAAACACCCCCGCAAAAAAAAATCTTCAGTAAAAGGAGTACCTGTTATGGGAGAAATGGTTACTTACTGGTAACAAGAGTTCTTTGAGATGGACTGCATATTCACACTCTTGGGACTTGTGTCAACCGATGCAGGGATGGTAGAACCTTTCAGTAGCACTGCCCATTAAGCACCCAGGCTCCCCTGCCCTCCCTGTCTAGCACTCCAGTGTGTTCTAAGGGCTTGAGAGTAAAGAGGCCGTGGCACTATTGCCACCTCAGTTCCTTCCACTGCTAACGCAGAAAAACGCAGACATCTTAATTTGTACTCCAGAGGAGCAGGAAAGGTGGGCGAGGAGTGTCACCATGCAGAATCCATCACGAAGAACTCCAGTTACAAGTAACCTTCATTTCTTTCTTGAGTAGGAGTACTTGTGGCACCTTAGAGACTAACAAATTTGTTAGTCTCTAAGGTGCCACAAGTACTCCTGTTCTTTTTGCGGATACAGACTAACACGGCTGCTACTCTGAAATCTTTCTTGAGTGTCCTCTGCTGTCCTTCACTGAGTGTTTAGTGGTTCAGAGGCAGGAGAAGTGGCAGGATGGATGAAGGAGAGATACTTGGAAATCCATGGGAACACCTCTCTCCTTTCAGCTTTGAGTCCACCTAATTGAAGGTCTAATCTTTGGAAGAAAGCTCTGTTCTAAGAGGGAAAAAATGATATAAATCCAAGATGGGTTTCTTTATATATTTGTTGCCTTTTTTCGCTTTCCCCTTTTTATCTCTCTCCCCGTACCTTCCTCTTACCCTTCTGGGTCACTTATTTGGTCAAAAGACACAAAGGAATATTACTTAAGGTTTGAACTAACCATCTCAGGAATGGTAGAGCATCCCCCAATCTACTGGGTTACCCAGGCCCAGAACTGTAAAGACTTTTTTGCTTCTGCAGTTACAGCCTTTGCAGCTGAGCCAGTCTATGAACTGCCCCTTGAAGACAGAGAGGGATGCCTTTTTAACCAAAACAAAACTCAAAACATTTGTAGAAGATGGGGATGATAAGGAAGGGGGAAGAACAGAGCTGGACCTGGCTGGCCCTGCCTGAAGACCTTCGTTGATTCTGTAATGCTCTGTGAGCTTTAAAGCTTTGCACATGTGCCTATCCAACAAAATAGTACCCTCTCATCCCTTAATGCTGACATTTTAGTGTAGACTCACAGACATATGGGTTGTCTGCTGGAGCTGACAGGCTAAGTGAGGTGTGAGTAACCAGACACTTTCAGTGTTGCTTGGTTGAAAGCTGCTGCCAGGCTGTAAGCGAACCTGACTGCCCCAGATAATCTCATTCACACTCATTCTCTCAATAATCCAATCACTTGCATTTAGGGGACAATTAAGGCATGTACTCCAGCCCCATTCCAAGAGACCTGAACAGGGCAGAGGGGAAAACGAGGGGAGAGAGACTAGGGGGATGTGGGCTGTTTGTGGGATCTCGGGAAACAGTCAAAGTGGAAAGAGTCCTACAGAAAGAGTGTTTTGGAAAAACAAATATTTAAAAGAAATGAAACTATACAGAAAAAAGAAAACTAAGGATGACATTAAAAATAGAAAAAAGGTGGAGAATAGGGCCAAAGATGCTCTTGAATCAACAGATCAGCATATCAGGCACAGATGTCATATATTTGGCATGCGTCTGACGAAGTGGGTATTCACCCACGAAAGCTTATGCTCCAATACATCTGTTAGTCTTAAAGGTGCCACAGGACTCTCTGTTGATATATTTGGGATGTTATTCTGCCTTAACATTGCTGATGTCACCGTTAAGGCTCTATGCTAGAGGGTAAGTTTCATGAAGTTGGGGTATGTATCGCTTTTCAGTATCTGTTGGACATAAAAACATAAGAACAGCCATACTGAGTCAGACCAATGGCCCAGATAGTCCAGTTTCCTGTCTTCCAACAGTGGCAAGTGCCAGATGCTTCTGAGGGAGGAAACGGAACAGGGCAATTTTCAAGTGATCCCTTCTGGCAGTCAGAGGTTTAGGAACACCCAGAGCATGGAGACAGAAGTAAAAGCCTTACGGAGCACTGGAGTATGCTATAAACAGTGTTGTCTGCAATGTGAAGTGGCAAAGCAGTAGATG